AGAGGGGACTGATGTAGAGAACAGCACTGGCTCATCTGTCAACATCCTTCATAAACCGTTTCCGTAAAAGAAACATTTAGGGATCTCCGTCTTTAAATAAACAATTCCACAACTGGTTTCAAAAGGGAAATCGTAGTTCCTTTTTCTCACTTCATTAGAAACTAAAATAGTATTTTTATGTTGATACCGTGGTAGGCAGGCTGCAAATACAGTTGGGAAACTTCAACGTAAAAATGAGAAAACGAGATTCTCCGCACCCTCGCACATGCATGGGCAGCTCTCCTAGACGAAAGGATTAAGATTCAAAGAGATTAACCATCTAGCTTTGGCAAATGTAGTAGTTTCCTCTGCATTTTCTTAGGCTTCTGCCTGTGCCTGTGGCCTTCTCTGGCCCCAGGACCGCCCCTCTTACCTCCGCTTGCTGGGTTCCTGCCTCCAAAGTCTTGTTCTTCCCGGATCCCTAGCCTGGGATAAGGACTGCCCGTCCCTCCTGGAGAGGGAGGCCCTGCTGTGGCCTTCCTCCGCTGTGTCCCTCCCCACAGGACAGGAGACAAAGGCCAAGGGGCCATGCCCACGTGAAGCCCACACCCCTGCTTCCAGACGGTGCTCTGGGCACACGGAGCCTTCAGACTCCCCTGCCCTGCAGGCCCAAACCCACTTCTAGGGCTGCTCAGGACTTTCTCCCCGGGTTCAGTCTCCTGGAGGTAAACTGTGCTATTCCCACTGGGACCAAGGGGAAGCTGCTTGTGGGATGGAGCCAACGTGGAGAGAAAAAGGGGGCAGATGAGGTTGGCCCCATGAAGCCATGGCCGAGTTGCCACATTCCAGAGCAGAGCAGAGCACCTAGGAGTCCCAGGCTTTGCAAGTCACACCTGCTCTCTGGTCCTGATGAAAGCACATTCATCACGAGAGGAGGAGAAGACATTTTAACTTCAAAATATTTAGATATCAGGCATTTAGATATCAGGCCTGCATTTGTGCGCTGGTACGGGTTCTGCAGAACCACAGGAAGGCCAGCCCTAACCCCCGACCCCAGATGGGCCAGGCCGGGCTGGTCCCCACCTTGTCACCGCTTGAGCACATCGCGCATGCGCACACGCGCTCTCCCCTGAAATGCAGTCTGCTTCACCTACTGTCGCACAGGAACAGCTCTCAGAACTTCTGGCAGCCTTTGGTCCATTGTAGCCGCCCTTGAAACTCTCCAAGAGAGACTTTCTCCATCCTCACTCCCCAGCCCTGAAGCTACACGTTCCTGCGATCCATCCTCCGGGGCCAGTCTCCAGAGCTCAGGCCCCCTCCCTCCTGCTTGGCCGCCAAGCAGGACGGGGAGGGCTCGCCGGGGGCTCAGCCCTGTCCCCACGCGCGCCCCTCTCGGTCACCGGGCGCTCCATCCTTCCTCGACAGCCGCCGAGCTCTCCGCCCCGCGCTCCGGCTCTCCGGCTCTCCGGGGCTGCCCCGCCACCCAGCTTCGCCACTGGGGCGCTCGCTGCGGTGCCTCCCCGCGTCCCCACGCCCACCCGCGCGCACCCCGCGGAGGCGAACCAGGCAGGCTGGGCCAGTGCAGGGTAGGATCCAGTGTTTATTTGGAATTTTGATATTTTGTTCTTCTTGGATTGGGGGGGCGGCATCGATTTTTTTTAAAATACTGCATTAAAACATGTTGATCTTGATTACTGAGTTTTGGGGATCCCATCAATTTTATGTCGGAGACGAGCGCCTTATTAGCCTCCCTCCCATCCATTTCTCTGCAGAACCCTCCAAAGCATCCCTGCTGCCTGCAGAGCCCACACCCCGGCCTCGTGCTCACTGTGCTTCACGTTGTGGGCTCCGCTTTCCTTCCCAGCCCTATTCCCAGCCAAACCCTCAGCTGGTCTGCTCGCCCCTCCCAGGGCAGCACTGCGGTTCCGCCACACCGCCCCCGGGCTGCTCCTCCTCCAGTGGAGTCTCCTCCCGTCCCACCTGTTCCGGTGGGCTCTGCCTCCAGGGGTCAGCGTCCACAGAGCCTTCTTGGAGCACCCGAAGCGCAACCCATCACTCCTCCCGCGTTTTGCCAGGACCTCAGCTGTAGGACGTATGCGGCCCTCTGACTTCTATTTCCCTGACCTGCTGTCCTGTGCCGGCCCTAGGAGAGACCATATGTGCCTTGACTGCAGAGTCCACAACTCATCCTCCACCCCAGGCTGACAGCAGCACCACCCGGTGCCTCCCCAGCCTGCAGCTCAAGGCTATACCTTGACAGGCGTTCTGGGTTTCTCCTCGCTGGCCCTGATCTCTCTCCACAGCCTATCTGCCTTCTCTCCTGTTGGATGTCCCAGTGACGTCTCAGAATTGGCTTGGAAATGGAGTCCTGCTCTGTACTGGCTCCCTGTCTCTTGGTACCATACACTCAAAACGCCTACAGCAAAGGCTACAGAGTGACTGCTCACAGCATTGTTCACAGGCTAAGTTGTCCCAGGTGGCATCCCGACACCGCTGGGTAACAGCCTCTCCTGCTGTGAGGTCCTCCGAGAGGCCAGGATGGAGAGGGACCACGAGGACCTCTCCCCAGCCACACACAGAATGTTCCCAAGTGAGTCCAGCAGTGAGGACAGCCTCGGGTAGAACAGGTGGCCTCCCTGCCCGAGCCACCAGTCCCCAGCCCCGTGTGCGCTACGAGGGAAGGGAGGGGTCTTAACATCACCAATCAAGACCTCACTGGAGATTTATTTGAGGATTAGTTTCAATTTCTGTTACATCTGAGGATCAAGATGGACCCACTTGCTTTTTCATGTGAGGCAATCCCACCCTCTCTACCATGACCCAAACCACCACCTTCCAAGTTCATGGATATCCCAACACCTGGAAGGTAAGCAGCTTTCTCCAGTGCTTAAGAGCTGAAAGAGGGAGAGTACCCAGCTATCCACCTGCTGATGCTCTGTGTTCTAGGTCTCTTTACACCCACAAATCTATAGATGGGACAGGATTTTATGTCATCATCATCTTTCAGAGTCCATTTTCTGTGTCTTTATACTTGAAGGTTAAAGGTCCAATACTTGATATGGCCTCTCTGTGCCAATAAGTGTGATGGTTCATTCACACGTGCTACATAATCACCGTTTAATTAACCTCATAAGGACCCCAAATGGTAGACGTATTAGTTTCTCAGGGCTGTCATAAATTACCATAAACAAGGTGGTTTAAAACAATAGGAGTTTATTCTCTCATAGTTCTGGATACCAGAAGTCTGAAATCAGGGTGTCGACAGGATTGGTTCTTTCTGAAATCTCTGAGGAAGAATCTGTTCCATGCCTCCCTCTGAGCTTCTTGTGGCAGCAGCAATTCTTATCATTCTTTGGCTTGTGGATGCATTGCCCTACTCTCTGCTCCTGTTCTTCCCTATGTCTTCCGTGTGTGTATTTCTGTCTAAATTTCCCTCTTCTTATAAAGGTACCAGTCATTGGATCAAGGCTTATCCTGATCAAGTATGTCCTCATCCTAACTTAACTACATCTGCAAAGACCCTAGTACCAGATAGGTCACAGTCACAGATGCATGGAGTTAGAATGTCAGTGTATCTTTTTGGGGGCCACAACTCAGCCCACAATAGGAAGTATTGTTCTAATCTTCGTATGACAAATTACAAACTGAGACTGAGTCACTTACCTAGAGATAGAGAAAAGAGGTGGTATGACTCAATTTTTAATCTGTCTAGACGTCATAATTACCACTTATTGGGCCCTTTCTTGTACCAGACACTCTGTTGGGTGCTTCATTTCTGTTTCTAATCTTCGTATTAATTGCATACAGTTATTATCCCTCGCTTTACAAAGAGGCGCAGATAATTTAAATGGCTTGCCCAGACGGGCAGGGAGTGGCAGATCTGGGATTCAATCTGAAGCCTTGGCCAATACTCACCTAGGTCAACACACCTTAACATCTTTGGGATGGCTCATCCCTCCTTACCTCATGTCACCTGCCTCGAAATGGCATAACTTCCTACCTGCAGTTGATAATCAAGACTGTAAATGACATGTTACTGGAATTTCCTATGTGAAGAGTGTAGAGGCAGAAAATGAATCACTGAGGATCACAGCACTGCAATTCACAGCGAGTGATGGTCTGACCAACTATTCATCTTCCTTCCGGCAGCCAAGCAAGAGTCGAATGGAAAACCACATCATCAGTAAACCCCATTAAAGACAATATATGCCACAACTAATTACTTCCCCATAGGGTGCTACACATGGGCTGACACACTGTTCCAACAAGTGCCTTACTCAGAAGGAGCCTCTACTACCACAGTAGGGAGGAACCAAGTCCCAGACAAATCCCATAGAGCTGTTTTTTAAATTACCTCATTCTTTCTCAAAATAAAAAATCAAACTTCTTGGCAACTGCTGTGCACTCTTCCTTAATATTAAGGATATGTCACACACACACACACACACACGCTCCCCAGTGCCTTACAAACACAGCAACCCTGAGTACAGGGTTCAAGCAATGCTTGAGCCACTGCAACTGCCTTGAGCCAACATAAGAGAACGATGTGAGAAAACACTGAGCCCAATGCTACTACTGTAGGTTTGATTAGCACTTACCAATTAAGGTTGTTTTTACTCCTATGCTCTCAAAAAGAAACCACAAAAGCAGCAGGGGGTAGGCCTGGGCTTTGGAGGCAGGCAGACTCAAATGCTGACCCCAGCACCACCACACACGTCTTATGCGAACCTAGGGAAACCATTTTTCTTCTCTAGGCCTCATTTCCTTCCCTGTAAGATGTAGATATTTCTCAGACAGCTGTCATAAGGAATATAAACAACCACTCTGACCTTGATTCCTAACAGGGAATATGAGGTAAGGCTATGCAGGAAACATTGTTTTCTGATCTTATTTATCACTTGTTATGCCTAAATTCCTATTTAAAAGAAATCTTAAATAATGAATGTGAGCACAGCTCTGGCAGAGGCATTGGGGATGAGAAAACCAATTGGCAGTATGGAAAAAGTGAATGGGAAGACAGGTTGATAGAAGACATTCATTTCTTTCACGTGCTCAGTATTATTCCATTGAATAAAGCACACATACATACACACACACACACACACACACACACACACACACAGAGCTGGATGGAGTTATGACACCTTATTGCCTGCCTGTGCTGTTTAAGAAATTTGTTCAAATTAGGGCATATGACTCCCAGGGACTGTGACACCCAAGCCCTAGATTGAGAACCACTCAGTCTGAAGACGTTCTAGGAAGGGACTCAGCCCCAGGGTCACTTTCTCAGCCCCCAGGAGAAAGTATGTAGAAAGTATAATAGAAGAAGAAAAAATAGGCTCCCATGCTCCTGGAATGCATATAAATATAGGAACTATTAGGAAAAAGAAATTCATGAAAGTTTTGTGATTTACCTAACCTTATTAATTCATGTCTCTGACTTTAATATTATTATTAATACTAGAATCCCGTTGATCATTAAGAGTGTTTCCAGCCTGGCACAGTGGTGTGTGCCTGTGGTTCCTAGCTACTCAGGAGGCTAAGCCAGGAGGATTGACTGAGACTAGGAGTTCCAGACCAGCCTGGGTGATATACTGAGATGCCATCTCTTAAAAAAAAAAAAGTATTTTCCCTAGATTATTGAAGTCTGCAGATACTTTATGTTCACTCTTCTAGCTATAAGGCAAGAATCTAATGGGCAAAGATGAAGTTCTACTCACCTCTGCCTCCCTTGACTTAGCAGTGTGTGGAACAGAGATGACACACACAGGTTCGATCTGTGCAATCTAAAAGAGCACCTTCTAGAGGCAACATCTTCAAATTTTACCTCGACCAGACCTACACCCACTGTTAAGCAATTCAACATAAATGTAACTGCAGAGGAAATGTGTACTCTCTATTCAAACCCTGGAATATATAAAATGTGTAATATCGACACCACTACAAAATGGCATTTAAGTGGAAGTCTGTTTCTAGAAGGAATAAAAGCCTGAGCAAAGAGATCTGGGGTTGCATTTTTGTTCATTGACTCTACCAATCAGTTTTATCAAACAAGCTTTAGAAAAACAGTAACTGAGTAATTCATCTTGTCAGTTACAAGTCACACACACACACACAAAAAAAAAACTGGCTCTGGTATTAGCTAACTGTAACTAACAAATAGAGTTTAAGAAGTATCAAAAAAAATTCTTTAAAAAAAACCCCCAGTAGCAGCAAAAGTATCAAATGTTTGTAAACAAAACCACTAGAAACAACCCTATGCTTAATAACAAAGAATCTGCATTCTTTTAAAACATTAAGTATATACAATGAAGAGAATATTTCCCATCTTTTTTTTCTTAATATACAATGCCTGATACCTAAAACAAGGTTACCAATAGCAGACACAAATTGTGTTATCATAAGGCAAGTCGAACAGTCTTTCTCCCAGTGCTCAGGGGCATCACGTCGCTGCAGAGGGCAAACTTTCCAAAAGGCTTCTCCTGGCTGAGATCCTCACGCACCGGGGGCACCGAGAGGACTGGAAGCAGCGCTTGTGGAAGCAAGCTCTGCACGCTGCAAGCAAGGAGGGTGGCCGTTAGCAAGTGGGCTATCTCGTTTCTTCACATACATGCAGACTCCGAGTTCAGAACATAGAGTCTTCTAGAAAGAAATCAGCCAGATTGAAACTCCCTGGGATTATAGCTCTCCCAACAGGTCATGAATATGAGGCTCAGAGAGCCTGACATAGTGGACCCCACAGTGCCTTCCAGATCTGCCCAAGCACTGAGGCACCAGTTCCCCCAGCCCCTGAGACAGGTGGTGGCCGGTGGCTCTTGGGAAGCAGCACTGCTCCTCTAGAAATGGCCCTAAATGGAGACAGCTGCCTCATCCGAGGTCATGCCCCCTTCCTGGCACCAGCCTGCATCCAATGACTGCTCACGGTGGAGTTTAAAGGCCTGGCTGGCCCTCTATCCCCAATTTGGAACAATGCTAAAAGGTCACCCATTTGCAGAGTTCCCCATGAAATGGGCCGAGGACTCCACTGTACCCACATCCCAGTTCCACTTCTCCCTCTGCCCAACGCTGCTGCCTTCACACCCCCACAGATATTGAGCTCGAGAGCATGCAACTTTCTGCATACAAATCCCTGCCTCAGATCTCTTTGCCGGGGAACCCCTCCCGCAACACTGCCTAAAGGGTTAGGGGAGAGAGCACTAGAGTGGCCTAAGACTTGGACCTGCCCACATCAAGAGTGAAGGCAGAGTTCATTACCAGGATCTCTCCCAAGAAACGGGGTTTAGAAAGTACGGGATTCCCTTGGGGACTAATACTATAGGACAAGAGTGAGCAACTTTTTCTGTAAAGAGCCAGATAGTAAATGTTTTAGAACTTGTGGGCCACATGGTCTCTATCTATGACAGCTACTCAACTCTGCAGCTGCAGTGCAAAAGCAGCCAGAGACAACACTTCGATGCTGGACATGAATGTGCTCCAATTACAAAACAGGGCAGGCACAGGCAACAAAGGGACTGTCTCCTCTATCCAAACCCTGTGCCAGGAGACATAATCCTTCATCCCTGCCCCACCCAAATACTCCTGCTCCTGTGCCCAAAACTTTATTATCTCCAATTCAATATGGAAGCACACACCAGCATCATTGTACTTTAAAGAAACAATTGTACTTAAGTTATTAAGCTATTATTCAGCTTAAGATAATTTTTTGGTTACGTTATTAAATTAACTTTGGATTTCAGTTGTTATGCTACTATTAAGTTGATGTTATTAAGTTAGTAAGCTACCTGAACATCTTCTACATGTTGTCGTCTGAAATGGGAAGATGACAGTCGTATTCCGGCAAAATTCACAAATAAAGCCCTTTCCTTGACACAGCTGTAAAAGAAAGTATCAAAAAGTGACCATCCTCATTTGTAATTCTCTTGATAGAGAAGCTGTTATGACGTTCATAGAACTTTATAAGCATCAATTTTTGAATGTCTGTGATTCTAGCCTCTAGCAGGAAAAAGATTTTGTGTTTTGCAGCAACGGATGGATGAGAACAAAAATAATGCACATTCATCCATTTCATATCAAGGCAGTTTTAAATTGCTGGAGAAAGATCATAATTTTAAATGGGTGTTCTTAAATGATCTAATTTCGTTTCCGTTTGCTGCAGTAGAATTCTTCAGACCATGTAGACACAGAGCTTCCTGTTCCCTCCACTCCTGAGTCCCCATGGCTATATCTGGCACATCAGGGCAGAGTGGGCCCCGAGCCAGGCTGGGCACCCCGACTTCGAACTCGCTTGGCCCAGACTCACATTCCAGCTCGGCTCTGCCCCATACTTCACAGTTCTGAACCTTAGTTTTCTCCTCTGCAAACAGTGTCACCAGGGCTTCCCTCAGGGTTTGAGAGAGTTAAATGAGGTCAAGTGCACACCACTCAGAACAGGCCCTGGTGACTAAAGGACAGCTCAGGGATTGCTCCAGGCGAACCCTCACCTCACAGCCAGCCACATGCCCAAGAGAAGCTTTCAGAATGTTCTTGAGGGTGGGTGCCAGCAGCCCCTTCTTGATCCTGACCAGGTCCTCCAGGGAGAACAGGTGGAGCTCGTCAGTCAAGTGTCTCGGCACCTGCTCAAACTCCTTTAATGCACTGCCAGGGAGGGAGAAAAGAGGAATTCGGAAACCCACCCAACACAGGCTGGGAAGAACAGGGTCGGCTGTTTCTGCTCAACACTCACACTTAATTTTTTCAACACAATTTTTAAAAACTAGCCCCAAGAACAACAGTGAACCTTGCTCACCACCACTCTACGTTTTGCAAGTTTGCTTGGAAGCTGGAAAGTTAAAATTCCATAAAAGCTGATGTCAAACAGCTGATGAGGAGAGAAATGTCTCTCTTGCAGCCTGCCCCATGCACACATGGAGCAAATGAAAATTGAATGTTTGTTTTCCAAGTCTTAAAAATGTGCACCAAGTACTGTCTGATTCCTGAGTAATCAAAATTAACTATCTTAGTCATTCCAGCTAAATTTCAACTGTGTCAGCATCACTGACTGCTGTCTCAGCTGGCAGGAGAATGACTGCTCACAGGCAGGCATGTGACTCCCAAATCCATGAGTACAACACTGAGTTTAAGATTCAGGCATCCAATTGCAGGTACTCAGGGTCACTTAGATGTCCCGAGGGCATTCAAAATGTAACTTAATCTTCTCCAAATCCACCTGGTCTCCTCTTGGAGTACCTAACTTGGCTAGTGGCAGCACCATTCACTGCATTCCCAAGCCAGCCATGCCCTACCTGGACTTGGCATGCTACTAATGCCAAACTGGCTTTAATTCTCCACCCAGCCTCAGATGCTCACCCATGCTGCATCCTCTGCCTGGAGGGGTCCCAATCCTCAAACTCAGGCTTTATCTCTGAGCCTTGCCTGCTTTCCACCGCACCCCACCCCTGAGCTAAATGCCACCTCCTCTCTACCCTCACGGCACTTTGCACAGATGTCTAACACACACAGTGGGGCAATGATCTGTTTGTGCTGACTTTCTCCCTGGATTTAACACAGATATACTAATTTCTTATCTGAAGCACAGAATGGATATTCCAGAATATTTTGGGGAAGGGAGGAAATGTAGGTATTGTTACATGTCACAGATAAAGAGAACTGAGGCCCTGAGACCAATGCCACTCCAATGTCATGAGGTGGAGGCTCAAGGCTAAATAACTACACAATGCATGCTCCTTCGTACAAAATTTAATTACAGAGCGATACATCATCATTAAAGTTCAGAAATGGAAAAATGCTTTAAAACAGAATTTTTAAGAAAATCCCTATAATCTCATCTATTATAACAAATAACCTTAACTCCCTTGAGTAACCTATTCTTTTTCAACTTAAAAATCTCTCTCAATGAATTCATGCCTAAACTTTTATTGGCTGATGATGTTCTATATTGTGGATGTGGTATTAAGTATTTTGCTATTACTGAACACCTAGATTTGTAATATATTTTCTTATTAAGAAAAACTATACTTTAACTAAATTTCTACCCATATCCATAGGTATGCTCATTCTTCTAAATGAGCTAAATTCTCCACTAGTGATTTAAAGGGTTTCGTGATTTTAAAGAAATGGTTCTGCATTCCCAAGGACAGCCAAGAAGCCCTGTGCAACAGCGAAGCCGGGAGCAGGAGGCTCAGAGGATCAGCAGAGGTGTGGAGGGATGGCAGACTGTCCCAGCCTAGAATAGTACCTGTCAGCAAACCTGCAGGTCTTCAACAGCTTCTTGACATGGAAAAGCTGCTCCTGGATTTCCTAATGTAAGAAACCAAACAGGGGTAAGAGCTAAATGTGATCAATGCTGCCAGCAATGTGCGAGTCAAATGTGTTATTGCTAACCTTGAAATGCTACATCTGTATGAAACAAATCTTTCTAGCAAACAGCCTAGACAGCAGGGGTTCATAGCCAAGTCCACTGACCCACAGGCCACATCCAACCCGGATGGATCCAGGTTTTGTGGGGGCTGAAGCTTACACAATTTGGGGGGAACTTCTTCAAGAAAAACACAAAGCTACGTACGAATATAAAATTCAATATGGGGCCTTACAAAGAGCCTGTGCAGGTGAGAAGCACCAAAGCTTAAGCTCCACTGGCTTTATGATGCACCTGCCTCCTGGAGGGTCTACCTGTGGAAGCCCTGAGACTAGAGTGACGTGCATGTCCTGCCGCAGGACGCTTCCAGCCAGGGCACTGGCCAGCCTGCGGAGACACACTCACCTTCACCCTGTCCAGCTCCTTGGCTTTGCCGTAGAGGCTTCGGCTGACGCTCGGCAAGTGGAAAATGGGCTGGTGCCAGATGCTGTCGAGCAGCCGTTTGGAGAAATTGCTCACGTGGTACTTCCTGAAGTCCCACATCATCAGGATCCGGGCAGGGATGCAGGACTCCGCGTAGGAGTGGCAGCAGTGGCAGAAATATTTCCCCAGGTATTCGCAGTACCGCAGCCGCTTCACAAACTCTGGCGAGCACACCCGAGCGTGAGGGGGCGCTGGACGCCCACCTGGTCCGCCCCCCACCTCCTATGCCTACGCAAGACTCAAAGACTCAGATGGCTTTTTTTCATGATTAAAACCACGCTCGGCCTCATGGCAGCTGGGAAAACTCTAGCAGGGACTTGGGGACTTACGTCATGCCCATTCATGAGCTTTGCCTTCATGGACCAGATGTCCAAAAAAATAGAACTCTCTCAAAATACCCCTGGGCTTTAAAGGTGGGCATCACAAACTGTAGTGCGGCTAAAAGAACGTTTACTTAGGATCTGGAGATCAGAGGCTGCCTCTCACTAGCAAGAAGGCTGAGGAGGGCAGGTCAGAATCTCCTCAGGCGGACCCTCTTGAGACCAGAAGACACAACTCAGAACTGGATGAAGTGATACTACGTGTAGGAAAAGTACAAAGTAAAGCAGCATGCATGCAATGTTAAGGAGTCGCATCCAAAAGAGCTTCTTGATAAATCATTGAGGAAAAAAAACCAAGAATGCATAAAGGATGGGAATAGGTAACACATGGAAAGAAGAAATTCAGATCGTCAATAGGGATGTGAAGAACAATCTCAGGAACAGTCAAAGAAATGCATATTTTAAAAGTGAGATACTCTATTTGCCTCGGGCTGTCGGAAATTTAGAAGATGCAGAGCAGGTGAAGTATACAGAGGTGGGATTTCTAGTAACAACATTTTCATCAACTGATCGACACACAACCTTGTTTTAGATGTCTTTCTATGTAAGGACACCTTAATTCATATACTTTGTTGACTCATAACATTGAATTCAGGACCAACAGCGCTATGACTCACGCCTGCATGGAGCTTATCAATGCACACATTTTCTCCACGAAGCAGACCTCCCTGCTCTTAGAAACAACACACAGCACTTCAGCACCATGCGTGGGGGAGATTTGAAACAGTGAAATCACCAACAGAAAGCACAAAAATGCAAACAACGTGGCACTGAATAAACCATGAAAAGGTATGCCCTGGACCCTGCACTCCACGTGCCTGATCAAACTTAACAAGATGGGAAGAGAGGCCGGGTGCAATGGTTCGCACCCGTAATCCTAGCACCCTGGGAGGCCGAGGCGGGCGGATTGCTCAAGGTCAGGAGTTCAAAACCAGCCTGAGCAAGAGCGAGACCCTGTCTCTACTATAAATAGAAAGAAATTAATTGGCCAACTAATATATATAGAAAAAAATTAGCCAGGCATGGTGGCACATGCCTATAGTCCCAGCTACTCGGGAGGCTGAGGCAGTAGGATTGCTTGAGCCCAGGAATTGAGGTTGCTGTGAGCTAGGCTGACGCCACGGCACTCACTCTAGCCTGGGCAACAAAGTGAGACTCTGTCTCAAAAAAATAATAATAATAATAGCAATATGGGAAGAGAAAGGAGGACAAAAGGAGCCAACAAACTTCCCTGGCAAAATTCCTTTTTCCCCAACAGCTAAAATCCTAACATCTCAATATCCATCCACTCATTATCAAGCTTAAGTGAATACATACTAAGTGTCATGCTCTCAGTACGGAATAAACTATGTCCATCTCTTTCAGTTTCCTAACCCATTAATTAAGCTAGAACAAAACAAAGCATTCTAAACCAGTGGTTCTCGGCCAGGGGTTATTTTGTGCTCCGAGGTACATTTGGAAATGTCTGGAGACATTTTCAGTTGTCACCATTGTGGGGCTGCTACTGGCAGCTAGTGACACTGCTGAACACCCTGCAAAGCATGGGACACCCCTCCCAACAAAGTCAATGGCACTGAAGCTAAGAAATCCTGCTCTAAAACACCATTGTTCTCATTTAATGAAAAGTCAAAGTCATGAGGAAAAAAAGGAGGGAAATGTTCTAGACCAGGGATGTCCAATATAACTTTCTGTGAGGATGAGAATGTTCTATACCTGTGCTGTGTAATACAGTAGACACCAGTTACATGTGGCTGCTGAGTACTTGAACTGTAGCTGGTATGACTAGGGAACTGAATATTTAATTTTAATTAATTTAAATTTTAAATAGCTACATGGGCTAGTGGCTACCATATTGAGTAGTGCAGTTCTAGAAGAAAGCTAACTAAAGAGAAATAATAACTAAGTGCAATGCATGAAACTTGATTAGAACCTACATGGAAAAATTAGCCATAAAGGGTACCTTGAGGACAATAAATGAAAATGGACTAGTAAACAATATTGGGGAATTATTTTTTTTGTTTTATTTTATTTTTTGGTGTGACTATTTGTCCTTATTTTGGGGACATGCTGAAGTCGTAAAGGATAAAATGTCATGTTCAGTGTGTATGAGATTGAAGGAAACATGACAACTAAATTCAATGTGGAATTCTAGATTGAATTCTGGAACAGGTAAAGGATAGTAGTGAAAAAAAAAAAACCCTGTTAAATCTGAATAAAGCCTGGGGTTTAGCTAACAGGACTGTACCAGTGCTAATTTCTCAGATTTAATGACGACGCTATTGATGACGTAAGATGTTATCGTTAGGGGAAGCTGAGTGAAGGATATACAGGAACTCTCTGTCCTACTTTTGCAACTCTTCTGTAAGTCTAAAATTATCTCTAAATAAAAAGTTAAAAAAAAAAAAAAAAAACAACTTATCCTAAGAGCCAGAGGAAGTTCACAGGAAAAACCCAGAATTATTTACATGCTGTTGACAATCTGTGCTTTACCTACCTCTGTCGCATGTTTTTTCCTCTCATTCTTACTCCCTAGTCACATAAGGCTTCTTTTGAATTGCCACAGACTCTTTGCATATGATGAACACCCCTCTCTTTCTGGAGACAATCACATCCTTATGAAACCTCTTACTCCCAGCCCATCATGCCTAGATTAAGTTTCCTGGCTATAAATCCCATAGCTCTCTTGACTTTCTCTTTTGTTACATATGTCACCCTTGGTATTTACTTACTTGGCCGATGACTATGTCTTTCCCTACAAGACAATCAGCAAGATCCTCAAAGCCAGGACCACGTTTGCCAGATTAGTCACTGTATCAACAGTGCAGACACACATCTCCATATTGGTTGGTTGGTTGGTTGGTTGGTTGGTTGGTTGGTTTTCAGAGACTGGGTCTTGCTCTGTTGCCCAGGCTAGAATGCAGTGGCAAGATCACAGCTCACTGCAGCTTCAGAACTCCTGGGCTCAAACAATCCTCCTGCCTCAGCCTCCCAAGTAGCCGGGAGGTACTACACCCACTACACCCAACTGATTTTTTTATTTTTTGTAGAGATGGGGTCTTGTTGTATTACCCAGGCTGGTCTCAAACTCCTGGCTTCAAGTGATCCTCCTGCCTTGGCCTCCCAAAGTGCTGGGATTACAGACATGAGCCACTGTGCCCAGCCACATCTCCATATTTGAATAAAATTAGGGACGCACTTAAAAAGTTGGAATCATAGTCACGTTTCTCACTCATGCATGTGTTCAATATTTACTGAGGTACCAGGAAACAGTGGTTGACCAAAAAGACATGGTCCCTGGTAGAATAACTGGGAAAATGAGTCATTTAAGGAAAATGAGTTATAACTGTAATGCCTGTCAGCATTTTCATCCAATGTGTTGTAGAGGAAGCCCAGATAGATTTCTACTTTTTATTTTCATCTCTTGAAATAGAGCTCCTCAAAGTCTTTTTCCTTCAAAGATCATCAAAGGACGAAGGAACTCTTTCCATCCAAGCTCATCTTCCCAGCCTTCTGCAGGTCAGACCTACGGACACCCTCAGAGCAGAATAAGTGACTCCCAGTCTTGAGTTGGAAACTTTCATTTCTGACTCCAGGAGGTCTGATTTTCTGGGCCTCAGTTGGCCCAAGAATGATTCTCTCAGGCCACCTCCTCAAACTCTCTCACAAAAGTCTGGCTAGCTCCTTGGTAATCCATCAATCACTCAACAAATGTCTTTCAGGGACCCACTCTGGGTCAGGCACCCTTCTAGAAGGTGAGAATAAAATCATGAATAAAACATACAACATCTGGCCTGACAGAACTTATAATCTAGTGATGAGGACAGAGAATAATAAGATGCATCAGTAAAACATAAGAGAGTATTTTAGGAAGAATATGCTAAGAATAAAAAAACAAGAAGGTGAGGCAACATAAAGCATGCACGTGAGTGTAGCCAGGAGCGAGGCAAGGTGGGCATTTCGATAGGGCGGGCAGGGAAGACCTCCTGACTTCTGAGTGAAGATGTGAAGGAACAAAGGAGTCAGCCCCAGGGACATCTGCAGGGAGGGCATTCCAGGGAGAGAAAACCACAAATGCAAATTCCTGAGTCAGGAGGGACCTGGCACCTTCAAGGGCCAGCAGGGAGGCCACGTGGCTGGAGCTGAGTGCCCAATGGGGAGGGAACTGGGAGGCTGGTTCTCCTCATTCCTGGCTGGTCACACAGCCTTGTAGGTCATGATGGCCTCGCCACAAAATAGAGAGCAAACTTCCATGAGGTTCTTATAACAGCCTCTCATCAAAGGCATCTCTCACAAAAACAGCGCGCTGCCCAACTTTGTTATTCTCAACCCTGTCATCGCGTAATAAGCACCAATCCATTACCCATACTTACTAGGCTCTATTGGAGTTCCACAGCCTGCACAGAAAAAATTCTGGGCCACCACCACGAGGTCCCTCCTGAGACAGAAAATGGTAATAGTTACATTTCAGAGAAGGTTGAGGAAATGTTTGTCACTAATTGGAAAAAATTTGATATCATGATACCTTTCTTGGCTTGAGGCTTTCATTTTGTCACTTTTCATTTGGGAAAGAAATAGGTTTATTTAACCCAGTTTTCTAGTTGAAATCTCTGGGTCTTTTAAAGCTAGAACCTTTTAAAAGCTTCTGCAAAAACCAAAGCAGGAATCAGTATCACAAATAACTATTCCACCAAGGGGTTTTTAGGGACTTCTCATTGCCCGCACAGAGTCCTATCTCCAAAGAGAACCATAGACACGTTATGCAGGCAGTTCAGGGAGACCAGACACTGAAGGACAATGCACTTGGGAGGTTCACAAATGGATCCAGAGAAATTTAGACAAACAAGAGGCAATGTAAGACAGATTGTCAAATGTGTCTGGTGGGATATTCCATTGGAGCATTTTCTATTAAATTGTCGTGACACTGTTTTACATGTGATTTTTAATTATGGAGAAAGTTGTATAATTTGATTATAGTTCAGGGTCAGCAAGAATGGCCGAGGTGAAAATATGCTCAATTTCTGCCCATGTGCCTTAGAGAAGATTGAGGGAAACTCTAGAGAAGAGAGATACCCCACACTAAGGATGACCCCGCACAACACCTAGAGAGGGAGCTCTTCTGCCCAAGCAGCCCCAGATACCTTCTTGGCATTCTCTTGTAAAGGAAAATTAAAATCTCAGGATCATCCCCCACCAACTCCTTATGGAAAAGGGAAGGTCGAGCCTGGAGGCTGAGTCATGCTCAGCCCCTTCCAAATGAACAGCTGTTACTAACGTTATGCATCAACCAGATCCCCAAGGAAAGGTAAAAAGCCTCAGGCATCTACAAGGTTTGCTCCCAAGTGTATCTTCTCAGGTGCAGAACAGAGACAAGATCAAACATTCTTCCACCTCCCTAGGGATATCTACATAACTGATTCTTCCTTTGCTCCCTTTTTCTTTTCAAGCATTCACCTTATCTTAGGTAAAATGTAGATTTCTTGGGTGTCACAAGAATGTGACCATTTTCCTTACTACTCAAGTCCCTCCTCCTTTTTCTTCCTGTATCTGTATGCCCTCTCCCCCTAAATACTGACGTTCCCAAAACCATCTCCAGAAAAAACAGTCACAGACGCATCTGTGGCTTGTGTTTTTCCCCAGCACATCCTCAAACTTTGGCTTAATAAACAACCATTGATTGAGATTTTTGCCTCAGTCACTTATTTTGGGTTATCATTCTCAAAAGAAAGATACAGTCTATAACTGCGCTCCCCAAAACCTGGGCCATGGACTGGTACCAGTCCGTGGCCTGCTAGGAACTCGCCTGCACAGCAGGAGGTGAGTGGCCGGTAGGTGAGCAAAGCTTCGTCTGCATTTACAGCCGCTCCCCATCGCTCGCATCACTGCCTGAGCTCCGCCTCCTGTCAGACCAGCAGCATTAGATTCTCACAGGAGCGTGAACCCTACTATACCTGCACATGTGAGGGATCGAGGTTGTGCTCCTTATGAGAATCAGGCATCAGAATGTCTGATGATCTGAGGTGGAGCTGAGGCGGTGATGCTAGCGCTGGGGAGCGGCTGCACATACAGACTATCATTAGCAGAGAGGTTTGGCCGCACAATAAATGCAATGCATTTGAATCATCATAAAACCATCCCTCCCAACCCCTGGTCCCTGAAAAAATTGTCTTCCATGAAACCAGTCCCTGGTGCCAAAAAGGTTGGGGACCACTGATCTATATAAGGCACCTCTACGGGACATATTCAAGAACCCTCACCAGTCCCTTCATAACTGCAGTTTGTACACTAAATTTAATACAAACCAAGAGGAATAAAAACAATTGTACACTGTTAAATTTTTTATCTATAATCTTTGTCTATAATCTGTCATACACTCTCAGAACAAATTATAATTAAATTATTACTTAAAAATGTATATATGAGTTTCTTTCCTTTTCTGCATCCTCTTAGTTGTTTTGTCTTTTAGGACTTTTGTTCCTTCTTAGAGAAAAAACATTTTTATTTACATTCTGTTACATTTTTTAACTACTGACACTCTCCTCGAGATTAAACTTTCCTTTTTCAAAATTTATTCATTAATTTTTAGTTCACACTGACTATACTGGAAAATAGAATGGTTCCATGTTTTAAAATTACCATATAGGATCTTTAAGTCTCAAGATTAGCCACTTTAAAAATCCCTGAAGCCTATTTAATTTTCAGTTGCAATGCAATATTCATAATTCATTTATATAAATTCTCAGCTTATCAAAACTTAGAGTCACCAAAAGCTAAGCCAGAAAATATGCCCAACTTTCCTTTTCGTAAAACAAATGTTCCTGTGTCCCTTAGCGTATTATATTTTTCGTTCCCTTACTTCCATAAAGAGTCCGGTGGGATCTGCACAACTTGTTTTAGATGGAGGACCAGGCAGCAGCTCACACTTACTTCAGTGGTGGATGCATATTAAATATGATTTGAAATCTTGGGGGGGCCCAGTCTTCAGTCCCTCTGATCCTGGACTTAAATTTAATCTCCTGTACTACGCTCATACTGGATTCAAAGTCTTCTCGGACACGCTCTTCATTGACAACCTGCGTAATACATAAAAAGATTTAGGAACAACTGAAACAAGCCTATTTTGAGAATTTAAATAAAAGAATGTTCAAGTGTGTTTCCAATATTAAAAATTTACCATGAAAAAATAAAACTGTGTCCAACTGAACTAAAGGACGTGGCAAGAGCTCACCATGTCTCTAAAGCCACGTGCAGAACTGCTTCTACCAACACCCAGCTGAGATAGCTTTGCTTAGTAGTTTCAGTTCCTTTGTTTCTGTACTTTGAATTTACTGTAAGTAGGTCACTTTGACCTGGAATACATTCATAAATGGCAGGAGCCCATAGATGCTGCCAACAAGCAGCACTGTTGTTGTTAATCTTCCCCAGAAAGAGCTCTGTGAAGACCATTCCCTTGCTTTTAACTATTCTGCAGCTGCCCTCTGCACCACTATACTTTCCTACTGTCATTTTAAAGTCCACACTTCTCAAATTAGCATTCTGTGATCACCATAATTCGGTCACTATCATTCAAGTCTTATTTCCAGGAAGATCAATCTCCCACACACAAATACACACAAAATGTGTTCTTTAACCACACCAAGCCCCTCTGCTCAATAGCACCCACCGTGCACCCACTTTTGCTGCAGTGTCCCTTTGCCAAGAACACTCTCTGCCTCACTTTTCTACCTGCCACAGTTCTGGCCAGCGTAATACTTAGCTCAAGTTCTGAGATCTCCAATCAGCCTTCCCAATAAGACAAGAACTTTTATTTGAGGAATATGAGTCCTTCTAAATGATCAGGCCCAGAGAGGCATTAAAATGAGACAGCAGTCACATCCTATTTCCTCTCTTTGAACTATGCATTCATCTCTTGAAACTGCTTGCTAGTGCCACAAGGAGCTATAAATTAACCTAATAATGCCACACTGCACTGGACACTGTAATCCACCCCTTATAGCTTAACAATGTATAGCTGATCATTAATCAACATTAATTCTATAAAGCAAAGAGAATTCTTGACAAACAACTTTGTATCAGCCCACTCCCTGATCCCCCTTTTTGTTTTTAAAAATTTGCTTTGTGGCCAAGCACCAGGAGGACATGGCGGCTCACTCCTGTAATCCTGGCACTTTGGGAGGCCGAGGCGGGAGGCCAAGGTGGGAAGACTGCTTGAGGCCAGGAATTCAAGATCAGTCTGAGCAAAAGTGAGACCTTGTCTCCACAAAAAATAGACAAAAATTAGCCAGGTGTGGTGGTCCCAGCTATTAGGGAAGCTGAGGCAGAAGGATCATTAAAGCCCAGGAGTTTGAGGTTGCAGTGAGCTATGATGATGCCATTGCACTCTAACCTGGGTGACAGAGTAAGATCCTGTTTCAAAAAAAAAAAAAAGAAGAAGAAAAAAAAAAGCCCTGCTTGCAACAAAGGCTAAATGGAGCTCATATTCTAGGTTACTTGGGTCGGAGTCCTGTGGGCAGCTGTCCTCACTTTGAAAACTCCTTAAATTATATATTGTGCCTCTTTTTTTCTTTTTTAGGTCACCACTAAGTTCCACTGAAAAAAAATTAAACACTCCCTGCCCTGTACTTCGCGTGCTTTTTTTGCAATTCTTATTTTAGCCTTTGTCACAAAGTTCTCTACCCCCAGTGGGCTGCATGCTCCCAGAGGAAGTGAGTCCTACAAGGGAACCAGCACGCACTTTCCAACCAGGCAGCCTGGGGCAGGGCTCCTGCGTTACCACCAATAGCCCTGCCAGGGGCTGGCCCATCACGTCACAAACAGCAACAGCATCTACCTAACAGGATACTTGTAGGGATTAAATTATGAACAGTCCCTGGTACATAGTAAGCCCTCAACACAAGCCTGTTCCATCATTCGAGTCTCTCCCAACACCCTGGAACCATATAAGGAAACAAATATTTTAAGCAAACAGGGCAGGCAAAATGAGAATTTAGGAACTTTTGATTCAAGTTCAATTTCTTTTGATACTTACTATTGAGCTGGCTGCGTTCAGGGCCCCCGCCAGCTGGTAATTAACTCCCGACAGCATCCAGCATTTGCGGAATGCTCGGTACAACTCTCTGGCTAACAGCTCAGCAGAATTGAAGTCTGGCTCATAAGTGACACTGAATGTAAGAGATGCAAAAAACAAAAAACTATATTCATAAAGAGCATGGTCAGGGTCTTCCTCTGGTTTTCAACTGTCCTTCCCATCCCCAAAACTCAGAGGAGGCTGTCGTATAAGACCAAGCATCAATCACTACCAGGTATCCTACTCAACACGATTCCTCTGTGCTCAATAAATCTTTTATTGATTGAGGGTACTAAGACTTGGAGGTAGGGTGAAAAGAGCACTGTGTTTAGAGTCGGAAGGCCTTCATTCAAGCCCCACTTCTGCTATTGAACAGCACTGTATCTGTGTGAGTCTCCTTTTCTGTATCTATAAAATGGAGTTTAAAAATGCACGCACAAAACTTGCCCCGTCTGTCCATGAGGATTAAATGAGAATGTATACAAATGTCTTTTATGCACTATAAAATACTGTAGAAACTTTGGGGGTGATTGTTTCATTTCTGGGTGGTAATTCCCTAGATCCATGGGAACAAATCATTGGGACTGGATGCATTTGGCTCAAAATGTCAAGGCCTATTGTTCACTGTGCTTCGGAGGTGACAGCCCAGGGGTCTCTGTGTGGGAGCACACAGAAGACAGATACCTCTTAGAGGAGCTGCAGGAACACCTACAGGTTTCTGTGATATCGTTAAACTCTCCAAGTTCTGTGGGAAAATAAAACAGTAATGAGATCTTTCGGTCTGATTCACTTCACCATAGCCAATTTTATAAGAACATTTCAGAAATAGCCAATTATTCATTTATCTCCATGCTTTAGGTTCTTTTGAGTTTCTATTATAAACTACAGATACTAACCAAAGATAGAATTTCACCTGAAGTCTGACCAAGTATAATTGAGAAAGCAATATCTGCTTTTTCATTCAGTTCTACAAGTGATATGAGAGATTAACTATCGAGACATTTGAAACAAGAGCATCTTTTTTTTTTTTTTATGTCAGGGATATAATCTGACCTTGGGAGAAGTTTCTTCGCATGCCACCGTGGTGTGGTGCTGCAGTGAGGCGTGTTAGTATGTACGTGCAGAGGGAAGTGGGGAGGCAGCCAGTTGTATCCAACAAGCTTCCAAGTCTTACCTAAAATAACAAATTCATCAAAGTCACATTTGCAGGTCTCTTTCACAGCATCATCGCAAGCAGGTGTTTCGGCCACTGGGCTGACCTGTAACACAGCACAACCTGCAAAAAGGGAAGGAGGTTTTCACCAACAAGAAGAAAAAGAAAAACTGCACAACCACCTGCAACATCCAGCTATATAGAAATTGGGAAATGTAAAGGGCTAAAAGTTTACTTTCAAAGAATTTAAAAATTTCAGCTTCAAAATTTAAAAATGCAGGGAACTGTCTTTGTGTGTCCTTCTTACATTCACTACGATGCATAAAAGGAATGATCGGTATATGGGGGTTTATAATAATAATCTACCTACTTTTAGATATGTTTGAAAATTTCTATAATACAAACCTTAAGAAAATGAAAGGGGAGGAAACAATCTTATCTTCATAGTGAGGCAAAGAGTATAGGAGACATAAATGTGATACTGGGTTGAATAGTTCTCCCCCAAAATTCATGTCCACCCAGAATGCACGAATATGACCTTCTTTGGAAATAGGGTCTTTGCAGATGTATCAAGTTAAGATGAGGTCATACCGGATTTGGGTGGGCCCTAAATCCAGTAAGATTGGTGTCATAACAAGAGAGAAATTTTGATACAAAGACAGAGACACACAGAAAGAATGTCACATGAAGAGAGAGATCACAGTGATGTGTCTACAAGCCACGTGATGCTAGTGATTGCTTGAAACTACCTGAAGCTAGGAAAGAGGCGTGAAACAGATTCTCCCCCGGAGCTTCCAGAAGGAACCAAACCTCCCAACAACTTAATTTCTAACTTCTGCCAAGAGTTTAAGTCCAGCCTGGGCAACACAGCAAGACCCTGTCTCTAACTAAAAAAAAAATTAATAAATGAATAATGTAAAAACTGTGGCAACATGAAAAAATGGATATGAAATACTATTAATATAATCACACAAATATAATAATACTATTAATATAATTACATAAATATAATTATATAATTAGTATGAATATAATGTCACACAACTTTCATTTGAATAAACACAGGAAAGAAACACACAGAAATGAATACAGTTGTTCAGGGACATAGTCTAGCCCATAGGTCACACCAAAGTTGTGTGAATCGGCCTGACTTTAAAACCACACTGCTCCTAGGCCGGGCGCGGTGGCTCACACCTGTAATCCTAGCACTCTGGGAAGGCTGAGGCGGGCAGATTGCTCAAGGTCAGGAGTTCAAAACCAGCCTGAGCGAGACCCCATCTCTACTAAAAAATAGAAAGAAATTAATTGACCAACTAAAAATATATATACAAAAAAAAATTAGCCGGATATGGTGGTGCATGCCTGTAGTACCAGCAACTTGGAGGCTGAGACAGGAGGATCGCTTGAGCCCAGGAGATTGAGGTTGCTGTGAGCCAGGCTGACCCCACGGCACTCACTCTAGCCTGGGCAACAAAGTGAGACTCTGTCTCAAAAAAAACAAAAAACCCACACTGCTCCATTCTACCTGGGGGACTACAGCACTGATTACAAGCTCCAGCTTCAGTATGCTCTGGGTGAGATGGGATGTCACCCATCATCTCTGTTTCTTACTCTCTTTTGGCCATGATCCACAGGGACAGACAGGTGACTTAGTACAAACACAATAATATATTTCACTGATAAAAAAAATATTTTAACATTGCTCGCCCTAAGTAAGATGCACTATAATGCTTTCTATCCTATTTCTGTCTTTTATTTGTATGTTTGTTTGTTTTTTGTTTTGATGCTTTCAGGACCAACCTGTAGTTTGAAGAACAACTTAGCCCATGGAAGAACATCAATCACCACAAATGTCACAAGAGAGATACTTAATAAAAGATAAATATTTTTATTGGGCAGGCAGAAATATTCTTAAATTTCATTTAACACATTCATGCTTCTTAAAGTTTTACCTAAACATCAGTTTCTACCCAACCACTTAACAAATATTTCTAAAATACCTATTTCAGACAAGGCACTATGCTAAATGCAAATACAAACAATTTCTCATCCATCCGAGAGTTTAAAATTTCACAAGGGAGTTGAGATACTGACACATGTAACCACAAAAAAGCACAGCTGCTCACCACAGGCTGTGCACGGCATGACCTCAGGAAGAGTGACGCACATACCATGTTTCCCCAAAAATAAGACACATTCTTATATTTATTTTTCCTCAAGAAGACATCCGAGGGCTTATTTTCAGGGGATGTGTTATTTTCCTCTCAAAGCCTCAGCTTGCAGCACACATAGGATGGCCGGGACATGACAGGGGGAGCCGACCTTGTTGGTGGGGCTGCCTGTACCTTTCCGGTCACCTCTGGGATAGTAGCTGTCACGATGGGGCAGATGAGAAGGGCTGCTTGTCTTCTTTACCTCTCCGCGACAAAATGCACGGGTTGTGCAGATACACCGCGTAGCCACGCCCATCACTAGGTCTTATTTTTGGGGTAGGGCTTATATTGTGCAAATGTTTAGAAATCCTGCTAGGGCTTATTTTATGGGTAGGTCTTATTTTTGGGGAAACACGGTAGACAACAGTGGAGCATCTGGGGCACGACTTGTGTCTCATTCCACACACATGCTGCTGCTGCCCGGTGATGGTTCCAGATTTGCCCTGAGGAGCATGTCACAGTGCCAGTAGCAGGAGACTGCTTTCAAAGGACGGGAAGGGTGGAGGACCTGATGTGCAGTTCCTGGGGAAACACACATTCCAGGGGAGCCTCCCCAAAGTAAGGGGAGGGAGGCAGGTGACGCACGCCTACCTGGTGACACACCGCACCGGGCACTTGCCTCTGTCTACAAGTCATCCCACAAGGCTTCCCTGGCCCCTGCTGCAGAGCGTTTGCCCCCTGAGGGAAGGGGCCTATCCCACGCACTGGCTGTTCCCAGCACCTAGCACACTACAGGTTCACTGTTTGTTGAATGAATGACAGAGGACTACTTGGAAAAGGACAGAATCTAAGAGGAGCTAGGAGAATGCTATGCATCAGAAAACAAAGGAAGAAGATGACATTGGCCACTTTTTTTTCTTTTCAGTGAAAAAGAAAAGCAGGATGAAGTCCAAGAAAATAACAAAACAGGATCTGACAACTAGATGGAGCAGAATAACTAACCCCAAGGCAAGATGGCAGGGATGCTGAGGATCATATAGGTTACGCAAGAAGTTTTAGATAAAGGATTGAAAGACATACAGTTGTCCCTCCTTATCTGAAGTTTCGTTTTGCACAGTTTCAGTTACCTACAGTCAATTGTGGTCCAAAAATATTATATGGAAAATTTCAGAAAACAATTCATAAGTTTTCAATTGCACACTGTCCAAGTAACGTGATGAAATCTCACGCTGTCCTGCCCTGTCCTGCCCAGGACATGAATCATCCCTTTGTCCAGCACATCCGTGCTGCAAACGCTGCCCTCTCGTGAGTCACTCAGTAGCCACGTTCATCATCAGATTGAGAAAACATGGCATATACAGAGTTCAGTATTATCTGACATCGCAGGCATCCACTGGGGGTCTTGGAACGTGTCCCCCCTCAGATAAGGGGGGGAGCACTGTACCTCAGTATTTGACAGAAGACAGGAGGTGTGTGGGGAACATACAACACCAAGTGTTCTCATTTTTGCCCAACTTACCTTCACAGTCACTGTCTGAAGAAGTGGCTGACCCAGATTCTTGCTTTATGCTTGTATCAAAGGTCACTTCAGAGTCAGCTTGATCAATTCCACGTGACCCACTAGCTTCTTCTTTACTCCAGTTCTCTGTGTGCTGTTCGCTCAGGATGTTACATTTGATTTTTTCCATTGCTGATATAATCATATCTGCAACATAAAAGTGGGCATTTTCCTACAGGAAAAAAAAAAAAGATCAATTAAAATACAAGCCTAAGCAACTTTTTTTTTCATGGAAAGTGTATCAGATTTGAAAAATCAAGAAGCCCTATTTAAGTGAAGTTAATGCATATACATATAAATGTTCACTTAACTGAGTTATCATAGGGTCACCATATGACTTATAAGCCATGGAGACATATAACCAACAGACAACTCAAGCTGAATTTCTTGTAATAGAAAACCCTAGGCTGATGGTAGCCCAACGGCAGACATCATTCATCAATCACGGAAAACATTCCACCTGAGTACAGATCCTCCCTTGAACCCTTCTCAGCTTAGTGCTCCTGGCAGTGCCTACCAATTAAATGCTGAAATAAAACCTGTTTGATATGCCTCATATTAAGGTGAAGTTTCCAGGTTAAAATCAGAACAGCACTATCTAAAGGATTAAGAATCTCTGCAGTTTAAAAAAAAAAATAAAAAAGAAGGGAGCATTCACCTTTTCTACATCGACAGGCAGCTCTAATGCCTCCAGTGAGAAGGAATTCAAAGAAATGGTTTTTCCACTGACTTGAACAGCACCTGCCAAAATAGCAAGTTATTAAAAATGGAGAAAAGCTTAAAGATTATCTAGCAAAACACAAAAATTCTAGGGAAGACTTTTAGATACTGTTTTTTTAAAAAAACTAGCACAACTGTAGAATAAATTAAGATGACAGAAGGAGAAAGATCTTTCTGATGTGAAGTTTTATGGAGACTGTCTTAATGACAACTATTTCTAGGAAAGGCTACGGCAGTAACTTAGCAGTACCCTGCGGGGCAGGGGCAGGGGACACCAAAGAGGCCAAGAGGGTAGAAAGAGAGGTGGGTTCATGGGAAATACCTACAGGAGATGGGGAAGGGTGACAAGGAACAGTCCAGAAGCAAGGCCACAGAATTTTGAGAATACTTCTCCAACTCATTGCTCCAAGTCGTTGAAACTGACCCCATTGCAATTGACTTCCTGCCTACAGAAACAAAATCCATCTGACACAGGTCAGCATAGCTTCTCTAAAACAGTCTTCCTCCAGTCAAAGCCAAGAAGAAACTGCAGAAGGGACATGCTGCAGACTGATCCATTCCTGCACCCTTAGCTGCTCCATTACTGGCAATGACCACCATCGAAACAAACAGCAACTCTATCACGTGATTTCTTATTGCAGCATTTAAAGGGGAAAAAAAGTCCACGAATGCTGTAAGAGCTCAGTTGTCCAACCCTGCTAAATTAGAACAAAATGTTGCAAATGTCCTGGTGGTTACACATCTCTCAGGGTGACAGAGTGGCAAGCAGGGTCACTTAAATCTCTTGCTACATGTTCAAGAGAGTGGTGGTTACATGGAAAACTTCAAATTTCTTAGCTTCAGAAGCCATCTGGGTTGGCAAATTTTTTTCTGTAAAGGACTAGACAGTAAATATTGGAGGATTTGAGGACATACAGTTATCTGTTGCAACTATCCTAATTCTGCCACTGTCGTGACCTATAGACAAAATAGAATTTTATTTATAAAAACAGGAAGCTGGCAGGAGCTGGCCTGCAGATCATAGTCTGCAGACCCTGAGTATAGAGGAAAAAGCACAGAGAAGAATTCAACAGAGTGGATTCCAGTTCCAGCTCTCCATTCACCAGCTGGGCCCTTGTCATAATTTTCTCAGCCTTTAAATTGGGATAATTACCTCTTAGGACATTAAGAAGATAGGAAATGTGAAAGTGCTTTGTAAATATGTAGATCCTGCAGAAAACAAAAGGAACTGTGGAATTTTTTCCTATAGCCTCAGGAAATGCTTACAGACCAGGTGGTCTTTCCCCTGCCCTATTTTCTAGAAAAGGAAAATTTTAGTGCCATTTGAGATGCAGCAGTCACAGAAACATCCTGTCTTAGTGGGCAGCGCCTATTTGCCCCATGGCTGCCCCCACAGCAAAGAACGAACAAACCAGATCACCCGGGGACTCTCCTTCTTAATCCTATGGAATGAATCCCCTTACCAAGTTTAAGAGAGATTCTCAAAACACTGAGTGGATTTTAAAGGCGCCGAGAAGAACTGCTGGGAGTCCTTGTCTTTGGACAAAAGGGGCTGGGGTGCCTGTTTTCTTTCTGGGGAAAAAGACAAAGCTATGGGATAATTTTAAATTGTATCACTGTACTTGATACAAAAAAAGATTTCAGGCAGGTGAACTAGGCCCCAAAGATCATCTTCCGTTTATAAGTTGCCACCGAGGTGGTCTGCCACTGAGACAGCTTTCTTCTAGGAGAGGACCTAGTAGGAGACTGACCTCTTGCTTAGCCACCACTAAATCTGCAAGTCGCTCTCTATCCTGAAAGCTAAAAAATAGGAAAAAAAAAAAAAATACGCCTGTAATCAGTCCTCTCAGTTTGCTCCAATTTGGTTCTTATTTCAAAATTAGCCATTGAAAGATTGTCCAAAATCTGCTGTTCTTGAGCTAAGAATAATACATAAAAGGTTGTCATCACCTATGATTTCTCAAACATTTCCAATAAATAAACCCCATATTTTAGGTAAGAGGGAAGATGAGGTCCTGCTAGAGAGAAATAAATACATAAATACACATACAGACAAACAGGTAGGCAGCTTTTTAAATCATTTTGAAAAAAACTCCATTGATTATTTGGACCAGAGTTCCAATAGAAATATAAATCAATAATGACAAGTATTAATATAACATAATGAATATTTTAAAATAAACATGCCACAAATTGTAATATAACAACAACAATGGCTAGTTTATTGACCCTTGAGTGGCACTCTTGCATTGGTTATGTCATTTTAGGAATGTTAGTATTTTAGGAGTATGTACATTACCTCATACCAATGAGAACCCTTGTTTTAATAAAAAGAGTTTTTTTAATAGTCTTTGAGGGGATCTATAGTTATTATTTTTAAATCTTACTATTTCCCCATCACACTCTGTACAGGTAAATATAACAGGTGTAGCAAGTTCATCACCCACATAAGTACAGGCATGAAACGGAGCCCTCTCTGACTGTCTGGAAACACCTTCCACCACCCACACTGAGTTGAGAACGCTTCTGATGCTCTCCCTTGCAGACAGTTTAATGAGCTGTAATTTACTGAAGGCAGACACCAACTCAAAGATGGCACAAGGCATTGATTATTCACTATGTTGAGCTAAAAAAATGACATTCCCCTCCAGTCTAAGGAGAAAGCAAATGCTTGATTTCACCTTCTGTGATCACCCAGGTGGCTAGGCTGATGACAGTATTAATGAGCTAATGCACTGGCTTCTGGTTAAAGTGGAAACCCAGGAACTTTTCTGCCATGGGGTGGTCAATAAGGCAGGCTTTAGGCCAAGGCAAAGCAAGCTCATGCACAGATAGGAACAAGGGAAGTCACCGACTAAAGTTACCTTCGTCAGCAGAAGCCGTCAGATGGGAAGGGTCAAAAAGAGCACTGTCAACCTCAGGATATGGGGACGTGGCCAAAATCTTCGAGCTTTTGAGCAGAGATGCCAGGTGAGAGAGCCCTGGGAGCACCAGCCATTCTTCAGTTGAGGTTGAAGACAAGTCACTCTTTTCACTTAAGCCCTGGGCAGAGGCAATGCCAGCGGGGTCTGCAGTATCCTCAGACAATGCTGTCTCTGCCAGGGAGTCCCCAATGGCCAGGGGTGAAGGGCTCAAGGGAGAGGCGGTATCCGCCACAAAGTGGTTCCTGATGGTCCCCACCGCTGGCACTCTGGGGGCCAAATCCTGCAGTTCTTGCTGCATACACTGAGGGTTAATCCAGGCAGCTTTGTGCCTTGTGAGCCTGATGTCTAGTTGGCGAGGGGGCTGGTCAGGCTCCAGGAGGCTGGGCAAACCGAGAATGTTGCTAGAGTCATCGCCGATCCCTGCCCAGGGGTCCACGGGAGAATCCCGCCGGCTGGTAGACTGTGACACCATCTCTCCAGGCTTGGGGCTGCTTCAGATTTGTTCAGAACAGATAGAAGGAGCTCTCAGATGGCTGCCATACTAGCTGATTGGGACCTTGACCTCACCACATGGCCAGCCGGGGCTCTGGAGAGCTTCTCTGCAATGAATGAGCAAGAACCATTCAAAACAAATAAGTGTTCAATCAGAGTTTGATTCCAAATTATTTAACAAAGGCAAAAATCAAAAAAATTAAAAAGTCTGTACTTGCCTCTATCCAACACAGTAAATTCCACTTGGATTTACAAGTAAAAAAAAGAAAATCAGCCGTAAAACTAGCAGCTTGACACTGGGATAGGAAACATTTCCCAAAGCATAAAAATAATTGAAGAAGCCACAAAGGATCAACTGATAAATCACTTAAAATGTAAAACATACATGCATTGAAATTATTCCAGTAAAATTACATGTCATATCCCAAATGAGAATACTATCTGGAAGACACATTTTCATATTTTCTAATCTTTATTTAGTTTGTTCTTGTATTTCTACAAAGTAGGCAAAATGGCATATATTATAAAACAGGGTGAAGACTCATAGCACTAAAAACTTTGCTTCATGTAACTTATATTAGGTTATTACTAATTTATATTATAATAGCAATATAAATTTGTTATTAGCTTATAATATTAATATTTAAGGAACACACTGTGAATCTAGAGTCCATCTTTAAAATGGTCCACTCACTTTGAAGCTCAGATTTTAGCTTAGTAAATGATGATTCAAATGTTGAGAGCTACACCAATGACAAGCCCTCTTGTCACTAAAATTACAGGCCTAGGAAATGTTTCTCTTTACTGTTCTCTCATTGCCCATTGCGTCATGAAGCAACCTTCAACAGCAAAAGCAAGTCCAGCCAGGGGAAAGCCTGGTGACAGAATCAGTGCGTCTAAGCAAGTTTAGCCAAAATGAAAGGTGCCGTAGCACACACACAATGGTGAACGTGAGACACTGGGACCAATTCCAGGGCTGTAAATACCATCACTCTGTATGCAGATGACACCCACACGTATATCTCTATTCTTGACCTCCCCCTGAACTCCAAGCTAATATAGTTTATCGCCTATTTGACATTTGTCCAGTGGGCCCTGCAACCTGATATGTCCAAAACAGACACTGATTTGCCCCCAAACCTGCTCCTCCCCTGCTTGTTGTCCCCATTTCAGGAAACACGTCTCCCGGTTAGTTGCTCAACCCTAAAACATAGGAGTCACTTCTGAGTCTTGCTTTCCCCCAGCTCTCCAGCTTCAGTCCACCAGCAAGTCTACAGCTATAGCTGCCACCCTGGTCCGAGTCACCTTCTTCTCCCACCTGCACGTCCAGCCATGGTTTCCCAGTGGGAAACTTTTACTGCTTTTACTCTCACCTGCTTATAATCAACAGGTATTCAGGGAGATTTCTTATAAACCTAAGTCAGACCATGTCATTCCCCCAATCAAAATTCCCTGAAGGCTTCCCATTACATCTGGATTAAAATGCAAACTCCTTACCTTGTCCTTAAGGCCTGACATGATCTTGTCCCTGCAAACCTCTCTCACTCGTCTTCACCCAGCCACACAGCAAGCTCTTGAACCCTGGGAGCTCTGTCCTCCCTTAGGGCTACGATTCTGGGTTTCCTCTTCCCGAGCTGATCTTCCCCCAAATGCTCACACATGCATGCCTTGATTTGTAAGTTACTTCCCCAAAGAAGTCTTTCCTCACCACCTTTCTTAAGGTAGTTCCCCTGTCACTCCGCAGCACGTCACCCTGGTTAGTTTTCATCACTGTGGTGCTCACTTCCAGATACTTTTTAGCTCCTTACTATCGTTCTCCTCCCCACCCCCACTCCCACCCCCACCCCCACCTGCCTGTAAGCTCCAGGAGAGCGGGGCTTGTCTGTTCACTGCCAGGTCACATCCCCCAAACCTGGAGTCGCATGTGGGGTTCAATAGATGCCTATGAACTGAATGAATGAATTCAACAGAGTAGAATAAAGTCAAGAGCTGGAGAAAAACCTCCTATTACTTGGGGTAGAATTATAATATTCACACAGGGATAGAAGAGAATCCATGTAAGAATATGGAATTTTTCTCACCCAGTCTTACAGTGACAAGATATAAGTTTAAAGAGACCAAAAGAAGAAACATATGGAAATTGCTCATAAAAATCCTTGAGTTTTCTTGATTTGGGGGCCACATATTCCAGGTCATATCTTTTGGACTACTAAAGATCATATATAATAAATACACAGAGTTTACCCTTGTACAACATGGGTTGAACTGCACAGATCCACTTACTCACAGATTTCCTCCCATCCCCGAGACAGCAAGACCAACCCTCCTCCTCCTCCTCCTCACCCTACTCAGTGGGAAGAGGACAAAGATTGAGACTTTATTGTGATATACTTCCACTTAATGAATATGTTAAATATATAACAAACATTAAATATATTTTCTCTTATGATCTTAATATTTTCTTTCCTCTAGTTAACTTTAATGTAAGAATACAGTATATAAATATCATACAAAATATGAGTTAATCGTATCATGTTATCAGTAAGGCTTGTAGTTAACAGTAGACTATTAGTAGTGTTAAGTTCAGGGGAAATCAAAAGTTAAATGCAGATGTTTCGCTGCACAGGGGGTCAGCATCCCAGTCCCGACATTGTTCAAGGGTCAACTGTGTTTGTGTATGTATTTGTATATAATGTATATTGTTTTCAGGATTTATATCATAGCCTTTGTATACAACATATGTAAAAATGCATATATAAATGTATATAACAAATATATAAATAAATGCAGCCTGAAAACATTACAAAAAGCCCCAAATCACCATTCACAAAATATTACAGGATACAGCTCGCTATGTTAACTGCCACTCACTATCCCAAAGTGTTTCATCTTCCTTCTTCTGACTTCAAATCCCACCTGTGCACAAATTTCTCTTTCTCACACATCTTTTCCACTCCAATAATTTTGGATTTTATAGTTACAAAAGGAAACCATGACTTTGTTTTTATAAAATGCCAAAAACACAGAAGCCTGGAGTAAAAAGTAAAGAGCTCTCATGGCCCTAAGCCCCGCCAACCCTACACTTCATTCTCAGAAATAACACTGTTAACTATTTTTCTCCTTCCAGAGCTTTATCTGTAGATTAACATATGTCAGATCAGAAGATATGTTTTATTTTTTTATATACACACAGAACCATATTGGACACATTCCATAACTTACCTTTTTCTCACCACAGCATGTTAATACATTCTTCTAAATTGTCTCATCACTTTCTATAAATGTATCATACTCCACTTAGATGCACTGATAGAAATGTTTAGTTTTGCATTATAAAGTATACATAAATGAACCTCTTTGTTCAAGTCATTTTTAATTGACTTTACTAGTCCCTTTCTCTTACTAGTTCCAATCTTCGTGTGGGTCCACAGTTCATGATAACCTCAATATTTCCAAGACAATAAAGCTATATAAGTCACTGTTTATTCTCAATTTTCTATAAATCATATGTCTCTTGTGTGGGGGGAAGATGATGATAGATGTGAAACCACATGAAAAATATACACTCTCAGATGGTAAGCAATAGTGATCCCAGTGTTCTTTTTAAATAGATTAAAGTCAACAGTTCAAAGAGAATAATGTTATTTGTGAGACTCCCATATAAAGAAGTGACCTAAATGCATTGAGCAAAAATAGACTTCCTTATAAAAAGCAATTTTCAGAGGCAGGTGCTTGCTCCACTTCCTTCTAGAAAGGTGTTGTTGCTTCATGCGAATAACGAGCAGGTGCTGGCTTTGCCAAGTTATGAATTCAAAACGTTTAGAGACACAACAGGCCCATATAGATTCAAAACCACGTCTAAGGTCACAGCTGGGCAATGTCAGAGAGAGAACAAAAAGCCAGGCTGGACACTCACGGGGGATCATGAATTTCTCTGAGAGGTAGGCTGACACAGAGGAGAGGGCAATGTTGGAAACCATCAATGTCCAGGCCCTGAAGACAGAGGTCTCTATTTTTTTTATCTTTAAGGCAGCAAGTATTTCACGAGGTACCATCATACAATTGCTGGACGTGCTGCCGGTTGCCATATTGCTAGTAGTCTGTTAGTTACTCAATTAAGAAATATGTATTGAGATCTACCCATGTCTGTTTTTGTTTTGGTGGCACTGGAGTAACATAAAACTGGTGATGAAAATAAGCTTCCTATGCTCTGGTGGAAGGAAGATAGTGAATAGATAGATGCACATTCAATGCATTTCAGGGACTGACAGGTAGAAGGAAATGTGGGTCTAAGCAATGTTTAGCATCTTCTCAACATACTTCCCTCTGTCATAAAGGAGGTCCTTTGAATCAGAGCTGCTTAGGTATAAAAGATAAAATCAATAGATATTGAGTCTCAAAGCTTAAATTGCTACTGAGACTTTCCAACTGGGATCAAAGGGTGAGCACAAGCACATATATGTTACTAGTTAACATACACGCAGCAGCAAAGGCCTTGGACAAAGGAGCGACTCCAGGGCTCCCCCAGCCAAGTCATTCTGCATCAGAGTCAGTGGGCCCATCAAGAATGACTGCAATGCTAACCCACCACAGGGACACAGCATTGACTGCAAAGATGCAACTTTTGCAAGAGGGGACAGATGCCTCAGTTGAGCATGAGTCACCGTGACCTCGACAATGACCTCACAAAAGTCTTTCAGACCATAAGCAGTTAGCACTTTGAGGGCAAAGCAGCTCCTAATACCCACAATAGTCTTAAAGTTACTCCACAAATAGGTACAAGGACATCAGATTTAGGATTTAGATTTTCTTCACCCCAACACTATCTACTCATAGAATACATAGCTGGGGGTATTAGAGCAAAGATCTTAAATGTTACCTTCTTCATGAGGCCTCCCTGGTAACTCTGTGAAAGAGGGCAACTGCCTCTCTCCAACAGTTCCTGTCCCTTTTCCCAGCGATATTCCTCTCCTTAACACCAATCTCCATTTTATTTAATCTCTATGACTCGCACCTACTAAAATGTAAAATTTTTAAAGAATTTATTTTGGACATTGCTTTGTCCCCAGAACTCAGAATGGAGGCAATAAGAGATGCTCATTAAATA